ACTTTCTCGTAATCATGCCCACAGCAGCTCAAGGATCCAACAGGACCCAAGAGTTACGCAGCCAGATCCTGCAGTTGAGAATCTCAACCATTTTACTTACTCATGACGCGGTGCCTAGGCACAAGGGCACGTTCTAACTTCAATATGTGACTGTAGAACTGACGCGAGTGCACGTTCGCAGCTGGACTAATGTATTGTGGTCCAAACGCTGTTTAACTTTCTTCATAAGGGTAGACAAATACAGACTGGGGCGAGCTGGAAAGTTAGCTCAATGAAGAAGTAGTGTTATTATCTCACTGTGGTGCTCGGTCAAGCGTCAATTTAATTTGTTTCTTTGCAGTTGGCTCTTTACGTGCTGTCATTTCTGGAGCCACGTGATCTCCTGCGTGCGGCTCAAACATGTCGCAATTGGCGGTTCCTAGCAGAGGATAACCTTTTGTGGCGGGAGAAGTGTCGGGAGGCGGGGATCGATGAGGTGCGGGAGACCGTCCACAGGAGGCGACAGCGGGCTCCTTCTGTAACCTCTCCTTGGAAGGTCTGAGCTTCATTCACTGCTCATTCAAGTGTAACCCATGTTGCCAAGTTGTGCAGTTACTGATATGATTGTTACTTGCAGGCCGCGTTCATGAGACAGCACACTATCGAGATGAACTGGAGGATAAAGCCGATCCGGCCACCCAAAGTTCTCAAGGGTCACGATGACCACGTTATAACGTGCCTGCAGTTCTCAGGGAATCGAATTGTCAGCGGCTCAGATGATAACACGCTGAAAGTGTGGTCAGCCTCTACTGGAAAGGTACATTGTTGTGCCAGGTTAACAACTTCGGTGTAAGCCGTTTTTCTGTGCGGGAACAAATGATGGCGAGAGGGTTTACATGTCATGCACAGATAGCGAGCCAGCTGCTTGTGCCTCTCTACAAGGGACTGGGGGGAGAACTGCTGCTGAGGACTTGTGACAATATTTATTCATGCACTTAGTTTTTTCTAGTTTTTGCATAAAAACGCTGTAATGTGTGTTTTATCTGAGGATTTGATTTGGTTAGGAAAATATGCTCCAGGACACATACAGTCCTACTTGACCTCGAATCATTTTATCATCAGTGTTCATTGATGCAGTGACTGTTGGAGCATCAGTCAAATTGTGCGTGACATTTATTGTAGACGTTCACAGACACAAGTAAGTTAATTTGATCCTTGGTTCACACCTTTCTGTACATTTCCAGTGTCTTCGGACGCTAGTTGGCCACACTGGTGGAGTCTGGTCGTCGCAGATGTCTGGCAGCATAATAATTAGTGGCAGCACAGATCGCACACTGAAAGTATGGAATGCGGAGTCTGGTCATTGCTTGCACACGCTGTACGGACATACCTCCACCGTGCGCTGTATGCATCTCCACGGAAAAAAGTAAGATACTTCATACCGAGTCTTCGTTACACTCTGTTACTATCTGCAGTTTCCATGTTTCCCTGTCAGAACCTTCTATGTATTTCTTACTTTTCATGTGTAGCTTACATTCAGTCCTGACAGGTAGTTGTTACACTATATAAAAATGGGCCTGAAGATGGTATGTTAATATTGAAACATGTCACCAGAACAAATTTAGTTTTAAAAAAGATTGTGTTAGTGGTCGTAATTACTGCACAATACCAGAACTCGTTCATGATTTCATCTTCAAGCCCTTACTGCCGCTGCCGATTGACTTTCTAGCTGTTACCATTTATCTAGGGTTGTCAGCGGATCTCGAGATGCCACCCTGCGAGTGTGGAACATTGAGAGTGGGGAGTGTTTACATGTTCTGGTAGGCCACCTAGCAGCTGTTCGGTGCGTTCAATATGATGGACGTCTCGTAGTCAGCGGGGCGTATGACTACATGGTGAAGGTCTGGAACCCGGAGCGGGAAGAATGCCTGCACACGCTCCAGGGTCACACCAACCGAGTGTACTCCCTGCAGGTAACGTCCTAGTGACTCCATCATAATTGCTAGTATTGAATGGCCAAGCAGTGTTTAATGTGCATGAATATCATTTTTAGATTTCTGTATACCTGAAACGCTAGTTCCGTTTATCGCGCAGTTTGACGGGGTCCACGTGGTGAGCGGATCTCTGGACACCAGCATTCGGGTGTGGGAGGTGGAGACGGGGGCGTGCAGACATACACTGATGGGGCACCAGTCCCTCACATCAGGCATGGAACTGCGCAACAATATTCTTGTCTCTGGAAATGCGGACTCAACAGTAAAAGTGTGGGACATAGTGACTGGTCAGTGCTTGCAAACCCTCTCAGGTGAGCAGTGCGGGACTTCGGTAGACGTATTATAACAGTCTGCGCTTTTGGGCACTTCCCCGGTGAATTCAAGTTTATTTCAGTTTGTATCCAACCGTTGACGCACTAAGATAATTAACAAATTTAAAGTGATTAAAGTGGCACGAAGCCATTCTTCATGTCAACTTTGGCTCCTCCTCCAGCGTTCATTACGTTATTCACTTCTTTTATGAGAAAATGTGTCAGTTTGCATTAGTTTGTGTTATATTTCAAAGATGTTATTTAAATGGGTGCAGGTGTTGTGTTTTGGCATAAGACTTTGCGCTTAAAAATGAAATGGTATAAGAAGTTTTCTGTAGTGACATCAGATGGCAGAATGTTGCTAAAGATAAATTCTCATTGATGATCATTGTTTTTGCAGGACTTTGATACAGCGTGGAATAGAATAATTTAAATGGTATAAGTTCTGAGTTGAGGCATTTTATCACATTGTCTGATGATGGCACTGTCAAGTTGCAAGTTATTTGTTTTTCAAAATATTGTGTAAAAGCGTGGTTCCTCCCAATAGGCCCTAACAAACATCAGTCAGCAGTCACCTGTCTGCAGTTCAACAACCGGTTTGTCATCACGTCATCAGACGATGGCACCGTCAAGCTGTGGGACGTTCGTACAGGTGTGTGGTAGTCACGTTTTTTCATGCTTGATCTCACTCCTGGTGAGCGGTGCGGTAAGGGAAGTAACAAAATATGTGTGTGGCAGGTGAGTTCATCCGCAACCTGGTGGCTCTAGACAGCGGTGGGAGTGGAGGCGTGGTGTGGCGGATCCGTGCCAACGAGACCAAGCTGGTGTGTGCTGTCGGAAGCAGGAACGGGACGGAGGAGACGAAGCTTCTGGTGCTGGACTTTGATGTGGAGAACAAGTGAGCAAGAAGTGAACTTCACAGGGGTTGGTGTAGCATTTAAATGTAAGGATAGGAACAAAATTGTGTGCGTGGCATTTTGCGCGGTCGCGCAGAGGCTGGCATCGTAATGCTGTTCATTTGTTTTGGAGTAACTTTGTGTTGTCTGGTGCGCAAGGCTGAATTCTGTAACCTTATTTTTTCTAACATGATATTTATTTTTTTATATGTAAGAAGAATGTTCTTTTTTTACCTCATGCATCACTTGGCAAGTATTATTTAAGCTTTGCCAGTAGGTACAAAACCATGTTTATTCTTCGCCAGATACACAGAGTACTTGATTTTCATTTATTTTTATCAATGAAATTCTGACAAAATGATACAAATTATTGTTTTGGAAGTTACATCTATTTATTTAGTAAGGAATGGATTGTGTAAATATGGCAACAGGAAACTCCTCTGTTTGTTGTTTAACGTCTCCTGTGCTGAGCCTCCTCCTGTGGCAAACTGGGGACGGATTATTTTAACGTGTGTAACAATACTCATTTGCTTTCATTATTCGACCCTCAGACGTGCGTCATTTGTATCATATTGAATACAGAGAAACATTGCTCAAACATCTTCTTTTGTAAAATGTTATGTATTATACATGTAATAAATTGTTTCTTAGTCCAGCACATCAGTGTTTTATTAGTGGTTGTGAAGATGGCCGTCTCCTGGGTTGTAGTGATGTGTAGTGAGATAGAAGTTTAACAACATTTCAGTGGTCCTTGCTGCCCCCACCATCAGGACGATGAGTGACCCGTCACCTGAAGGCAGCAAGGACCACTGAATCCTTGGTAAATTTCCACCCGACTTCACAGCGCTAAAACCCAGAAGACATCCAGCTTTGTACTCACTGATGTGAGACCCTTTGAACTTAATAGCGACGATGTCCATAACTGATGAGAGAATTATTAATTACTCTTAACATCTAGAGTAGATGAAGAAGTGCCTTCTGTCATCTGAATTTTTTTCACAAAAATTGGATTAATTCAGGACATTTGATGGGTCTTCAAGTACAAGATGTCAGTTTCAAGTGACATGTGTTTTTCATGATTGGCAGTATGCTGTCATTGGCAGGATTCTGTTTGTGGTTTAGATTTTGTACTGTCGAGTGAAAGGACAACTTATTGAGACTGGAAAGAAGGGATTTTCCCAGTTTTTGCCTTGACCAGAGAAGGACTACAGAATCCTTCATTTAGTATCCCTGGTCTTCGGGTTGAGATTTAAACTCGGGACACTCTGAAATGAAAGTGGGGTGTGCTGTGGTTTACCAGAAATGTCAGTACCGCACATGAAGTGACAATATAGTAGCTCTGCAAGACAAATACCACGTATTTTGCATCTGCCCTCGCCAGTTTTTGAATCTTTTGCAAAGCGGAGCGTGAAATGGACTGAACAGGTTTCTTTAGCAAATCTAAAACTTCTTGATGATGGTGAAGAGTCAATTGAATAAAAATTTTCCTGGATATTATCCATCGTCTAGTAAATATAAAAAGTAAAACGACGTTTCGGAGATGGGACTCTATCTCCGTCTTCAGGTTCCTACACAGTTGGGCCCACGTCGTTTTACGTTTTATATTTACTAGACGATGGATAATATCCAGGAAAGTTTTTATTCAATTGAGGTTTCTTTAGGTCAACGTTACTGAACCTGTAGTTTGTAATACGAGACTTCCTGTGCGTATTTTCTAGTTTTACGACTGTACTAGTGGAAGGATTCAGTTCTGATGGCTCTACTGTCACTTCCAGAATTAAATTTCTTATCTGCGGTTATTCTTCTGCTCCGGGCTCGCCTCTGGTCAGTATTCTTGGCAAGTAATCTTTCACCAGCGACGAGATTGGGACAGTATGTGGCTCCTCCGGCGCTACGTGAAGTGAGGATTAAGTTTTGCAAAGTGATGGGGAATCAAAAATCATACGTTGCCCAGGACCAACATTGCCTCAGACGAGCCTACTGTCTGTTGTGAACTTTGTTGAGTCCTCACTCCTTCATCTGCTGTGATGCAGTGCACCTGTCCACCTTATGGAAGACATTGACCCCGGTTCCATTATTCGTATTCAAATTACTAGGAACATAATCTTCCTTTCAGACTAATGAGCAGAGGAGAACGTGCGTCAGTACACGCGTTCGGACTCTCGTGGACCCAGACACATGCTGACGTGGCGAGAACAGGTATTTCACCTCAGCCGAGCTAACTGAATGGCGTGACCCTGGGGACAACGGATCGTAAAGCCGGATGCGATGACCTCGCAGCCTCAAAAGGTCTGGGGTCCTCAATGCCCAGTATCGGCATGGCCCTGTCAGCCCTCGCGTCCCTAGTACCGGCCGGTCCCTATACAGGATATGCTGCCCTCTCGCGGCGGCCCCGGGAAAGGCCACGCTATTGATTTCGAGTCGTCCCCTCCCCTCCCCCGCCCCCTGGACGCCCTGACTGCTGCTGGGACAGGTTGGTGCTGGCTGGCGTGCGGTGTTGGTCGGTTTGGGGCGTCTACACCGCCAGTGGTTGTCTGTCTGTCTGTGTGTGCTTCTGTGTTGTTTGTTCCAGTGGGTGCAAGTGGAGTGCTAAGGCAAGTTTCAGCAGCGCTCCACATCTTGCAATGCGGGGCGAGTGACTGAGGAAAATCGCCTGCCTGTGCGTGCGTGCGTGTAGCCGCCAGCAAAATTCGTGCCCATATGGCAGTGCGTGAGTGGCGATGCTAGAACCGCCGAGTGGAAATCCGCGAGCCTTGCGGACCGATAGGTCCGTCCTCGTTGAGGGGTTGCGTGGTTTTCCTCAGTAGCTCCTAACCCCCCCTCCCCCCAAGACCGCCTCGTCCCGCATACACCCCGATCCAAAAGACGCATCGCTGTCGGAACGGAAGCGAGCCATTGCAAAGTGTCCAGAACCAGTCCAGGCCAACTCATTTCCGCAATATTCGTTTTCATTTGTTCCCAAACATTCTCTCTGTCCGTGTTACTTGTCTGGTCCACTGATGTAGCAGCGTTATAAGTCATCTCCCGTCACGTCATCTGCCTCGGATCGAAATATGTTCCTAACAGATTTGTTTCCAAATTCCCGCAGTACTTTCACGAGAGCATTAATGACCGCATGATTTGCGTATAGCGTCGTTAAACAAGAACCCGAGGTGGGGCACATCTTGTGGCCGAGTACAAGCTTCAGCAGAGAGGTGGCAGCACCGAGTACTGACCTAGTTCAGCGAAGTTGCACAAAAACAAATCGACACAATGGCGTCTGGTTAAATGGAGAAATTGGGAAAAACCAAGACAAAACTTCTTACGTGACCGTCGATTGTGCTCGAGCTTCTAACGAAGCAACGGTGGTAAGACGACGACCCAAAGTTTCGGGGCAGGGTTCGAGGTGAGGAGCCGGGTGTCACCCAGGAAATTCCTCGGATTTTAAGGGAAAGGGTTAGCGTTGGACATCGATGTTCAGGCTGTTTGCTTTTATCCGTTTACCCCTTCAAAGAAAAGTGGTAACTATGCTTACCGCCTACTTTAACAATCAGCAATTCTGCACTACTTCATGTGTTTCTCTGAATAAACATAGATTGTTTCTCAAATCATTATCGAATTGATCTTTGATAACTGACTACGCTTACCTCAATAGAAAGTTTTGATCCTGAACAGTGATGAACGGGGATTGGTGGTGTTATTTTGTGATTTTGGATCTGATGGGTTTATTTCGGAGCAGAATGTGACATTTCGTTACATGCTGGCTTTTACATCGAGTCTTCCGCCCAACCCCCCAAACTAGAGGACCATCCCTTGTCGGCTGTTCGACAATGCTTATTCGAAATATTCGCACCCACCCTCTAAAACGCGGCACGCCAAGAAGTCAAGGGACGAGTGTGATGTTTTAAAGAATGCATATTGGCTCCAAATTAATGGCCCGGCGCTGGTTGTGAGGGGTCATTCCACCGCCCGATATCCCCGATTACGTGGGGACATTACAATCATTTTAGACACTATAAAACGGAAGGCTATTTGGGAATCCTTTAGCGGGTTCTTACACGTCACATAACGTTTACGAGAACCTAACCTTCCCTCATTCACTTCTTTCAACAACTCCAATCACTTGCTGTTGGGAATCGTATCTCCTAAATCGCGAGGTGGAACGTCTTACATCTGCATTTTGTGACCTGGCTACGGGCTGGATAACCGGAGTTCGATTCCCAGTAGGGTTCTCTTCGCCACATCCAGACCGGCTCTGGGGCCCACTTACTACCTGTCGAGTGGGTAAGCCGGGGTTCTTTCCCTGAGGTAAAGTGGCCAGGGCGTGAAGATAATAACTTTCTTCTGATACCGAGGTTAAGGTTCATGTCGTGGTGCGTAATGAAGCACAGAGTTACTTTTACGTCGTGTCTCGTAGAACTGACCCAGATATTAATTCACACAGATTCACTAATTAACGATGTTTTATGTGGAACGTTCTCATTGTTGTGCGAAATGTTCTGTCACCAGGTACAAGTGCTTTCTTGTTACTCATTTTAAAAACATGGGAATATCGTGCGCAGTTGATTCGACTTCAACACCGAGACACAGTAGGCAGCACTAAACACATCTCTGCTGTTCATGTACCTTTCTTTCAAGCAACTGGGACTATTTATTATAAGAAAATGGCGTTTTGTAGAAGCGGAACAAAGCCCCTCCAGAACACAAAACATTTCTGCATTACTTAGGGTGGGCTTACATGTGAGAGACAGAAGATTACTCTTTCGGTAAAGGTTTTATTGTCCTCAGAAGTCCGATGAATGTCATAAGTTATTTCTTCAGTGCGCTGTGAAGCAATCTAGTCGAGATATTCTGTTGTTTACATGTTAGAAAGTAAAGGTCTCACCATAGTTCTGAGTGGTTTAAGAAGTATTCTAAGCGAAGCGGTATACCAAGAGACAGGATTGTGGTGAAATTGTTGTAAGTAATCAGTATAGATCTGTTTTTACTGTATGTTAGTAGGATTTGAGGTTTTGACGGTGGTGAGTCTGAAGATGCTTTTTTCTCGGTTATTGCGCCGTGTATTCTGGTAGAATTTTACTGATCACCCTGATAATGGAGACAGCAGAGACCTCTGAAACTTCGGTGGACTTCTGTCGGACTACCCGGAGCAACATCCCAGAAGACATCTACTGTTTCTTGTTGATTACTTCGTAGCGAGAGCGAGTTGGCAGCGCCGAGAAACTTGGTCAGTGAACCACGGCCGGCAATGGAACAATAGGAACTGACCTACAAATAGCTTAATCTAATGCAATATAACAGTGGATTCTTCCTATACATCGGCTGATGTGTTAGTGATGAATGTTTTGTTGCATTAGGTTGGGCTAACTTTAGTTAAAATTGTATTATAAAATACCGGATGTGTATCGTATTCAGCAATGATTAGGCTAGTTTAGTGTGGTTATGTTGGAGGCCGTTCCTTGGTAGTTGGGGTATGGGCGCTGCCAACACTACTGTTTTAGTTGCGCCTTCATGTACCAGAATTCTACGGAATGTCGCAAGCGTTCATCAAATTTGGCAGTGTTTTGGTTATAGGGGCGTTATTCGGAAAGGGGGCTAAGCATTCACAGAGAATGTGCCGTTCCCTCAAGCTTTCTGCCCGTTGATTTAGTCTAAAGTTTCGCGTGTGCCGTTCGTTAC